TAGTTTTGGTACATGCAGTGGATGTAACTAGCATTTTCTGCTCAGAAGTCATTATGAAGTTCTGAATTAGTGTCATTACGCCATGTCTTGTGGTCTGCAATGCAACTGCAGATCTTACACGGAATCATACCTTTCCAGAAACACTTTGTTTTCCAAGTATCTAGAGAACAAAGATTACACAATACTTGGAACCTGAGGCTGACAAAATACGTTGTTGTAAAACTAGCTGCACACCCAGACATATCACACTGAAAGTAAGCAAGTTAATTACATTCTCCTCAAAATAAGCCGTACATTCAAACAGTCCCACCAGAGGATCCGGACCATACCTAACTGCATAACAATTTAGTCTTTGTTACATTTTTCCATCTTTGAACAGAGACAGATTTACTGATCTTCCCAACACATTGCTCCTGTAACATCGGTAGGACATTCCGAGTTCATTTAAACAACTCACGAGGGGAAAGATTCACTAGTCCACTTGCCAGTAAGACACATTCTACCCCTCTCAGTGTTTTCCCTGTGAATGAAAAGTATTCAGTAGCAGACATCGTATCCCTTTGGTCATGTGCATTGGAGAAATACCAAAGAAAAACCCAAATAATCACTTCACACAAAATTATAAAAATATGAAGATATTAGTTATGCCAGTTAAAAAACCAGAGCGCTGTGTACAGCCTGTGCTGTAACGCACACAACACCCCAGGGCACGATAAGCCCTTTATTAATGCTTGCAATAAAATGAACACTGCAGAACAATTACACACCATAGCCATGGATTTCTCAAACCAGAGAGCTCTGCCAGCAGCCAGCGTATACTCACACGGTGTTGAGACCTCGGGGGGAAGCTGATGTTTGCCGTAAACTAGCGGAAATATTTTCAGTGGAGTTTTCAGGTGATGTCAACAACAGGAAGGATGACTTTGAGCCAGATTTCCATTTCTCACCGGATGCGGCCTTAAAAGTTGGAACAAGAGCCTCAGGGCTCCTCGTCCATACCCCCAAACCTGCAGTTACCCCCCGCCCAGGCTCCTGTAGCTATGCGGCAGCCCGGAGAGTTCGTGCGGGCACGGAAGGGGGGTTCCCCCCCCCGGACCCTACCCCGGGGCCGCGGTAAGCAAACACCTTAATTCCTCGAGCACCGCTTTTGCAGGACCCGCACCCCGCTGCACCCCCCGCCAACCTCCGCGACCACCCGCCCCCCCCCTCCCCGCCACGCCACGCCGCGTTCCCCCCGCCTTCACCACAGCCACAGGCGACCCCGCCGGGTGGGCGCGGGTTTGTGCCCGGGGCGGAGGCCGGGGGGGGGGGGCGGCCCACGCGTGCTCCCCCACGCACACGCTGCCCGTCGGGCCCGGCAGTCTCACAGACCCACCGTGTCCAGCGGCGTCGCCGGGGCCGGGCCGGGCCGGGCCGGGCCGCCCCGAGCAGCCGCCGCCGCTGCCGCCGTGCCCGCTGCGAGGGCGACACCCAGCGGCCGCGGCCGGCGCCCCGCCACCCGCCATCTCCCCGGCGAGGGGCCGTGACGGGACCGGCCCACCCACCCCCCCCCCCGCCCCACACACACACACACACACACCCGCCATTCCCCACGGAGGGGACGGGGAAGGCCGCGCCTCCCGCTACCGGACACCGGCGGGGGAAGGCGGGCGTGGAGCCCAGGTGTCGGTCACACCAGCCTGGCCTCGAGTTGCGGGCGGCTTAACCCCGGAGCGCCGGGCTCCTGGAAGGCTGGGTGCTCCCCTGAAACCGATTTCGGGGGAGGCCCGGGTGCCCTTCCCTCCTGTGGGGAGCCGGCCGGCGGGCTCTGAAGTCTGGGCTGAAGGTCGGAGGGGGCCGGCTCGGAAGGTGGCTGTGCCTGCTCGCCTCACCCACCCCCCCACCCGTGAGAACGTCCCGGGGACCTCCAGTTCACCCGAGGCGTGTGCGTGTGTGGGCAATCGCGTGTGTACGTCGGTAACTCACAAACTGGTGGGGAGGCGAGTTAGACGGGACCATCTGTAGGCACCAGTACAGGAGAAAGGAGGTTGTGTGAGTAGGCTGAGCGAAATGATGAAAGTGGGATCTGAAGGAGAAGGAGGAAACAGAAAGCAAGCAGCTGTTCCCCACGGAGCGCCTGATCCTGCAGGCACACGGCTCCCAAAGGCCGTTCCTCTGCCTCAAAGGCATCCTGAGCATCATGCCCTAAACGAACTAAACGCTGAAGCGTCACGGGCACTACCTAGTTATGTGATGAATATACTCTTCTGAATGTTTTTGCAGATGATTTTACTTACGCACTTTTCACTAAACAATTACTGTGGTATGCATCGTCCCCCCCCCCCCCCCCCCGTGGCAATAGTCACACCAGAGGTTCAGCTCAAAACCCTCAGTGCTCTGCAGGAAAGATTCGCTCACTGAATTTTGTGTTCTGACGCCTCTCTGACCACAGCAAAGCTTTGTTGCTTTGTCAAAACTACAGCACTAGTCTGAAGTCTGGTGTCATTACTGAAATAAGAATGTAATTGCTAAAATACATAAAAATATATTGTGATATCTCACACTATAATTTTGTTTGCTCATTTCCATGTTCAGGATAGGCCTCCTTCATAGGAATACTATTTTACTTGATATTGTGTAAAATTCTGATGTAGGAATGGAAGTATTCATGTGAGTAACAGTTAAGCTATCTGTTAAATAAGTTCCATATATGTAAATGTTTGCAGGACTACTTTGGCTGTGTTTGATCATTATGATTGAGAAGAAATACATTAACACTTGCAGGAAAAGGCTTTTCTTGGCATTGATCTGCCACCAATCTATTTAATGAGAGCTTTCCCCCTTTAACAGAAGCAGGATGAGATGCTGTCACAGTCCTGCAAACCTGGATGCAGATGGGCTCCCTTGATGGTGTGGCTGTCAGTAGGACCATTGCCTGTGCTTAATTATCGTTAACCTTTTTTTTTAATCCAGACAGCCGATTTTGTATTCTTCTGGATTTTTTTTTTTTCTTTTCTGTTAGGAAGATAAATTCATGAGGATTTCCTCAGCTGCCTGAAACAAAGTGTATCATGTCTATGACCTGCAGCTCCTTGCAGATAAAGTCCAGTCACATCTAATATTGTATATGTCATATATTCAAAGACTCAACCCCTTGTCTACCTGCCCTCACTACAAATCCTGTGACTGAAGGCTGGGTGCTGTTTCATTACGTGCAATAGGCTTCAAAGTTAAATGACTTAAAAAAAAAAAAAAAAAAAAAAAAAAAGGAAGAAAAAATGCCAGGTGCAGAGGGGACAGAGAACAACTTGGTAGCAACAGGGCAGAGGAAGGGCAAGTCTTGAAGCTGATGTTGAGTTCATGACAGATTGTATTGCCAAGGGGTTGGCAGAAGTGCTTGAGCCCTACTCTAAAAACCTACCTGGTGATGGGCCGGGAGTCTGCGTGGCCTTGAACCTGAAGCTGTGGTCAAGGAGGAGGTCACTGGTATCAGTGTGGGAAGAGCTGCATTGTAACCAGTCCTGTCATTCCTGAGCTTCTACACTCTGATTTGGCATTTTAATATCTCCAAATTATTCTCTCTGTCACTGGTGATGTTTCATAGCTCTTTGTATAAAAGAACCTTAATGCAGACAGATTTCTGGGCAAGACCCACCTCCCATAGCCGGCCTTGAAACCTAACAGCCCTTTCTGTGCAGATGTGGCCAGCCTGTGAGTGAGAGAGATGGTCCTTCGTTAGAGACCTGGAAACACTTTTCCTCTTTCCACCAGGAGTTTCCAGGAGATTAATTCTTCCCAGGGCTGTCCCAAGACACAATGCTGAAAACATGACTGGTAAAAATTCCCGCTCCAAACTTAAGTCCTAATTCCTTGTAAGGGATTTAACTTTGAAATGTTTTCCTTCATCTTTTGGTGCGTTGTTAATCCGTTCAAGCAAAACTCCCAAGGGGGTTGATAAAGTGAGAATAAAAAAAGGTATTTCAATAAAATCGCATATTGGAAGATTTGTCACGATGTGGAACGTAAGAGGGGGATTCCTTCTCACCTTCATTATCTCAACTGGGTTAGTGCAGCCTGGAAGGCCTGGTGATGAGAAAACTGTGACACTGCGTAGAGTTGGGAAAATAATAATCTGTGGGAAAGATGCGGAGACTCCAAGTGTAGGTCCAACCATTACATTGAATGCAAGGAGGGAGAACAGGAGAGGAAGCAGTAAGAGAGGAAAAGCAACCAAGGAAAATGTGCTGCTGGAGAATCGGGATCCCAGCTGCCAGTCACCGCAGTGGGCAGCGTGGGATGGCAGCCAGGGGCTGCCCCACGCTCCGGCACCTGGGTGGTACAAGACAACAAGAACAGCACCGGCAACTCCTGCGAAGGAAGGGGCCTGGCCGAGGGGCACAAGGTCAGTCTCCACAGTGCAGGTCCGGAGCAAGCAAGGGCAGGCAGCTGAGCGCACCTCCGTCTGCCAGGGGCTCCAAAATCCCATCCTCTTCTGAGAGGGTTTTGCTGCTACGGCTTTCTCCACTCTTCCTTATTCACCCAGAGTATTATTTCTAAAATAAAACAGTCTCTCTCCCCCACACTGCAAACACGTTATCACCCGTCATTAGTGCCTGGCTGAACGCCGTGGGCACCAGTCGGGCCCTGAGTGGGCACAGCGGGCCTGCGAGCGGAGCGGCGCCGGGCAGACACGGGCCTGGCCCGAGCCCCGTGGGCTCCCACGCGCTGCAGACACAGACGCGTGGGGGGGAGGGAGGGGGGAGAAGGGGGAACGGGTGCAGGCGGGCCCCCAGAGCCCGCTTTCGGGCTCCACGCGGGGGGGAGGCTGCCAGGACTCGGCTGACTTCGGGGCCCCCCCGGGAGCAACCAACGCCCGCAGCAATTCCGGTGCCGCGGCCCGGGGGCGCACCTGCCCGCCGCCACGCCGCTCACCTCCCCGCCCCAACCCCCCCGCCAGACGCAGCGTCCCCTGAGCGCGCGCCGCGCTCCACGGGTGTTTTTCAGGGCCGGGCCTGGAGGCCCCGGCGGCCCGTGACCGGCCGCGTCAGGTGACGCGGGTCACGCCGCCGCCCCCGCCCCCGCTGCGCCGCGCCGCGCGCTCCGCCGAGCGCCGTGCGGGGGAGGGGAGCGGCGGGGAGCGGCGGCGAGGCACGGCGCCAGCGCGGCACCTGGGTGTCCCCCCTCCCCGACCCCCCCCCCCCCCCCCCCGCGGCTGAGGGGGCCCTCGGAGCCCCCGCCGGGAGCGCGGCCGGCATGAGCCAGGTGCCGAGAAAGCTGCCGGAGGAGGAGGAGGAGGAGGAGGAAGAAGAGGAGGAGGAGGAGGAGGGCGACGAGGAGGAGGAAGAGGAGGAGGAGGAGATCGCAGGCTTGGCGGGTTACGCCGACGGGGCCGAGTCCTCGGACGGGGACGCGGAGAGCGGCGGCGATGAGGCGTGTGAGTGGCTCCGGCGGCGGCGGGGGGGGGGGGCGGCTGGTGCTCCCGGGGAGAGGCGGGGGGGGGGGGGGGGGGGTCAGGCACCGGCCTCGGGGGGGGCTGCGGGACATCGGAGGGCGACGATCAGGGGTGCGGGGGAGCGAGGTGCGGGGCAGGGCCGGCCCCGTGTGCGCGGGGGGTGCGGGTGAGGCAGGGGTGGGGGGGGGTGCGTGGGGGGGGTGAGGTCGCCCTGACCCATATCCGCAGGCAGCCAGGAGGCGAGGATCCCCGCGGGATTTGGGGCACGAAGGGAGCCGGGGACAGCGGGGAGGGAGGGCAGGGCCTCGCTGGGGACGTGGAGTGTGTGTGTGTGGGGGGGGGGGGGCGGCAAGAGGCCGGGCTGAGCAGAGATGCTGCGGTGGTGACCGTGGGAGGGGGCGGGACGGGGACGGGGTGGTCGGTGGGGCGCTACCGTGGGGTCAGAGAGAGCGGGGGGGGATCCTGAGGCAGGAGCGGGGCGAGGGGCTGACAGGTCGCAAAAATGGGTTGAGGAAGAGGGAGGAGGCAAAAGGAGTGCAGGCAGAGGGTGTGGGGGGTAACCTCCTTCCCGTGTTTTCCATGTCTGGGGCGAGAGTTATTAGTTATTAGTGGACACAGCCTGGTGATGTGACTTGAGTGTGCCAGGGAGGCGTGGGGCGGGGGGGGGGGGTTGGGTGTCAGGCTATAAAAGGCAGCGGCAACACGCAGCTCTGTGTCCGGGGCTGCTCTGCAGCTGTGAGTGTCAGTCCCCACAGTGGCAGGCGCTGCTAAATGTCTGTTGTCCGTGTGTCTGTGCATATGACGACCCATGTTACTCGCTGCGTATCCGTGTCAGGATGGATGGTGATGCTGGGAAGGACAGGCTTACCAGGAAAAGCAGTCTCATTCAGTAAAAAAAGGCAGTGCCAGCTCAGAGCCTGTTGCTTTCATTCAGAGCCTGAATTCATCCTTCTGAGACGTATTTCACAAAGGCGCTTGGAGAACTCTCAGTATCTCGGGGTGAAAAACGAATTGCTTTTTTATAAGACCATAATAAAAGGCCACATGTTTTAAGGCTGCTTTGATTATTAGCATGCAGAACCTTTCTCCTTAAAGGCCCAGTCCTACAGGCTGCCATGGGAGGTATCGCATTGACTGATGCACTTTTGGGGAGGTGGGGAAGGTCAGTGCTTTGAGTATAAGCCATCATGGAAAAGGCTGTGGGAATGCGAGGATGTAAGAGCTGTAGCTGAGACTATTTAAAGTCGTATCTGAAACTGCTAAAGAATTACATTTATTTCGATGCAAAGAGAATATATTTTAGCATATTTCTTTAGTGCTACGCTACCAGCATTTTCTGTAGAGAAGTAATCCATGTTCTGTCCTCAGAGGAATTTATTTGGATATTTTTCAATAGGAACTTTGTTAGATTGCCAAAAATTTCAGTTGCTTCTTCATAGAATATTGTACTTAACAGAAACGAATCTGACTAGCAGGAGGAGACAGTCCATGCAGAGACCTTTCTTAGGCAGGATTAAAAAACAAAGGGCCATTTTAACAGTCCAGATCCCCTGGCTTTCTGTTTCATTCTGAAGTATCTGGAGAAAGAGGCATAGAGCATCTGTAATGGAGGGGGGTTGGGATTTGGATCTGTATTTAATACTGTGCTGCAGGGGAAGGGTCTTTCCTTTTCCCAGTTTTTGTGCTGTATCTTCCTGGATCTAGTATTCCAAAATTCAGTGTCAGACTCCACTTTTCTACAAAGAAAGAATGGAAAGGGCAATATAAGGAGAACAGCTTCAATGCATGGCTGTTGAAAGTGAGGGGAGAAGTCAGGCTTAAAAGTAAAAACGTAATTTGTGCTCGTAGGCATACAGAAGATTTCAAAACTTCGTATTGGTCATCTCTCACCCCATACTGGTTTCTTGTCTCCAGCCTGTATGCTGAAATGCTCTTGTCCTCTTCTTAATCTTTTTACTTTACACATGGGGTCATATTCAGAGACTTTAAAGCACTTAGTTTACATAAAGCCTAGTCACATTCTTGATATATGCAATTAAAAGGTATTTAGAAGCAAGGAAACCCTCTGCAGAGTGTACAGAGAAGTAGCTTTAAGACATACCATTGCAGAGTGCTGCAGTTGTGTCAGAGTGGAACCAGGTCTTCTGGTTCTGAGTCTTTTCCGTGGCCACAAGAATTTCCTTCCACCAGGCATTTCTGCAATGTTTATGAACCCACAGTAGCTGAACAGCTTTCTTGATTGCATATAAGCTTTTTCTGTTAACTCTCTAGGCTCAGGCCATCTGTTAGCATTGAAGGTGTTCATTGTATGTGTTTTGTAAGGCTGCTGTCTTGACAGCACTCCAAAGTGCTGCAGATAACACAGTCACAGTAGTACTGGAAATGCTACGAGGTCAGTGGGCGTGAAGGTACATGAGTGGAAGGCTTGGGATGGCTAATTCTCCTTTGCACAAAAAAAGTTAAAAATAACATAATTGCATTAGTGGGCAAAAAAATAATCATTATGAGCTGTATTACTTAAAAACTAGACTCAGAGGCTTGTTACCTTACAGATAGTAACATGAGCGAAATAATTTCTTTTGGCTTGGCATCACTTGAGCAGATGAACTGCAATGCTTTATTCGAATGTTTGAAAACTGGTGAGATCTACAAATACACTTTCCAGTGTGGCATCCCTGTCCAATATGCCTGTGAAGCACTGAGAGTCACCTGCTTTGGCAATTAATTGCAATTGATGCGGAATTCAGGATGGGCTTCAAAAGCTATTTTGAACTATCAATGAGTATCTCTAATAGCGTGAAGGAGATTCTAGAATATTCATTGTGTACTGTGCGTCCTGGTGAGACAAGTCAGGGCTACTACATGCAGTTCTCCATTAACTCCTCTTAAGCTGGGCTCTTCTGCATGTTGCAACCCACAGAAGTTGCACTCCAGAAGCTAGAACAACTGCAGTTAAAGACATTTTGTAAGGAATTGAGTGCTTCTCTGTGGGGAAAGTGCTTTGGGGTTTGTTAAGTTTAATTTGTGAAAACTTCAAGGGATATGGCCTCTATCCGGTGTGACTTCTTTACGGCTACTTAGAAAATCTGAAATACAAAGGACTGTTGATAGTCATTAAGAACTGGCTTTTTATAACATTTAGGCTTTGCAGAAGTGAATGAGGCAGGAAATGAGTTGCATCTCACAATAGGGAAAATGATCTTTCCCATTACAGAACAGAGTTTAGTGTTTCTCTTATGATCTCACTCAGTAACCTAGTCTGGGAAGTTGCAGTGATACATCTACTGGCATTTCTGTGGCAAATTAAAGAAGGAGTTGTCATGTACTCTGCAAAGGAATGTGGGCAGCCAGCACATCGTCCAATTCCTTTACATATAAGGTAATCTCTTAACTCTCTCCGAGAGGAAAGTGCTATAGCAGCCGTGCTATCTAGTCAGGTTTGGAGGATACTCATTTACATTTCCCTGTCTTTGAACTGGCAGGTTTTCAAAAGCTAAATAACAGTCTTACTAGCTGTCATGGTTTAACCCCAGATAGCAACTAAGCCCCACACAGCAGCCGCTTGCTCACTCCCCTCCAGTGGGATGGGGGAGAGAATCAGAAGGGTGAAAGTGAGAAAACTCGTGGGTTGAGATAAAGACAGTTTAATAGGTAAAGCAAAAGACACGCACACAAGCAGAGCTAAACAGGGAATTCATTCACTGCTTCCCACCGGCAGGCAGGTGCTCAGCCATCCCCAGGGCAGCCGGGCTCTGTCACGCGTAAGGGTGACTTGGGAAGACAAACACCAACGCTCTGAATGTGTCCCCCCCCTTCCTCCTTCTTCCCTCAGCTTTATGTGCTGAGCATGACACCATATGGGATGGGATATCCCCCCGGTCAGTTGGGGTCAGCTGTCCTGGCTGTGCCCCCTCCCAGCAGTTTGTGCACCCCCAGCCCACTCACTGGTGGGGTGGGGTGAGAAGCAGGAAAGGCTTTGGCCCTGTGTAAGCCCTGCTCAGCAATAACTAAAACATCCTTGTGTTACTGACACTGTTTCCAGCACAAATCCAAAACATAGCCCCGTACTAGCTACTGTGAAGAAAATTAACTCCATTCCAGCCAAAACCAGCACAGTAGCAGAAGAGCTAGTGTTCATTCTTTTCATCGGTAGCTCTGTTTATACTTGCAACTGTAGTTTTTTTGGTATGGCTTTAATATAAAGCAATTTAGTAAGTATTACAGTCCATAAAAATCTAACAGCCTGACATAATTTAAGACAACAACAATGTAAAACCCCAAGTCATTTAAAATATTTTTTCAGATACGTGTTAGTTTTTAGCCTGTTTCTTAAAGAAAAGGGAGTTATGTAGGTAGCCTGTCTTCTGGTTGTCTCATCAGCAGTCAGAGCTTTGGAAACTGCTGTCCACCTTCAACCAAATTTGAATGAAAGACGTCTCAAAGATGATTAAGTTCCCACAAGTCTGATGAAAACTGGCATTCAGAAGAGAGGAGAGACCCAAGTGAAAGTGTCCTCAGAGGGGGAGGTGATGAGTTGTGTGCGTTCTCTGTGGCAGCAGCTGGCCAACCGCTGCACACATCTGGCCAGCTGGCATGTGTTGAGCTCCAGATCAGCCACAGCGTGACGTATCTGTTGTTTGGAGGATATGTCATAAGACGCACGGGGGAAGTTGGTGTTATTGTGGTGGGGAGAGGAAGGGGACACAAAGTACAAATCCGTAGCAAATTAGACTTTGTAAGTTCTGTTGCGCACAGAGCAAATGGGAGTGTTTTTAATTTTTTGAAACATGCAATAAAGCCTCAACCAGAAGCTTGTTCTTTATGTGCCTTTATAACGTATTTTATTCAAACTGGTTCTCGTGAAGCTTCGAGTAAATTATGTTCCCTTCTGATGACCAAAATGCAAATTGCATGGCGTATGGATGAACGCACACTAATGAAACTGCCACTATACATGTGGCAGCTGTGGAAGATCTGTGCGTTAGGGCAGAGAGCGAAGTGGAAGAAACACCATTAAATCCTGTACTTCTTGTTTGCTTTATTGACAAGGCTGTACCCCTAAAACAGAAAATACTGTTACATTGTCCTAGAGCAGAGGTTTATTACTCCTGCAGGTGTGAAGTACTGTAAGCACATGTTTCTTGCAGCCACAGGAGAATACTATCACTGTTCAGGTTGACAGAAGAGTAGACCAGCGTGTTGACTGCAGTTTATTACTTCCTCAATTTGTTGTATGTGGATCAGCAGAAGTTGGCCTTTGCTACGTTAGGAGGATGAGATTCTTACAGTTACCTGTTGCTCTTCTGCTTAAAGAAGTTTCATCTGCGCACTACTCCAGCCTGGCAGTGCTTCCTGTGTGATAACTGACCAGAGTGCAGTAAGTGGTAGTACCTGTCAAGGCCTTTCAGATGTATTTAAAATTGATAGAATCTCACGGATAATGAGTTTTTAACTCCTGTCAGTCGCTGTGGTGACACGGGCCCACACGCAGTGGCATAACCGCTCAGGAGCCAGTAGATGGTGCCAGGGGGATGTTGTATGCTAACACCACAGGCCCTTCAGTGGAGAAGCCCTAAATCTTTGTAATCAAATCACAGGAGAAACACGCAGACGTAAACAAGGTTCTGAGCCCTCCTGGCAGGCACATCCTGCTCTTGTGTTTCCGCAAGTTGTGAGTGAGGCCTGAGGAACACAAGAGGACGGATGTGATCACCACCCTGGGTGCAAAACATGCTCCTAGGCAAAGGATTCCTTCAAGCTTTTCATGTTTTTCAGCCCATAAGACTATGTAATAAAATGACAGATTCAAATTGTTGTTGTTGAGGTTTCTTGTTTTGGATTTTTGCACTTTTGGAGTAAAGTTGATCACTTAACGTATGCAGTGTGTACTCAAGAAGGATGCATATGAACAAATGTGTGCTGGTTTTCTGCAATTCAAAATTTATCCTGGCACAAAAAGAGAAAGACATGCAATTATGTTGTGTTCTGAATTATGTTGTATAGTCTGTACTGCAGTGGGTGGGAGAAGGTCTGCCTGATATCTAGTGTGTTTAGCCTGTGATCTGATCAGTTTTAAACCCGACCACTGTGTGCTGTGAGTCCTACTCCGCAGATTTAGCACTGACAACTCAGTGTTTTGCATTGATTGTGTTTCAGTCTGCAGACAGGGTATCACAGACGTGTCTGAAAGGTTTTTAAATCTTTGTGCAGCACTGTTTTCAGCTCAGCACCAAAGGGCATTTCAAAGTTATAGGCCAACTAAACACAGTGATTTAGACTGTTGTAGCTGTTTTGTTTAGAGATACCTGAAACTGAAGTTTGTGTGCTTACGGGTGTGGACAGCTATACATTCATGTCCTTACAGATAAAACAGTATGGCTTACTTCCGTAACTACCTTTATGCTAATATAACTGCATCAGCACTAGAAAATGTTATGTTTTAGTGGTACCAGTTTCAAACTGGGGTAGGTAACACAGTGAAATCACTGTGTTCCCAGGCCTTTGTTTTGCAAATAGGCAGGGGATATGCAGTAATCTTATTTATTGAATAACAGTTTTACAGATTGTAACACAAATTATTCAGCAATAGGTGAAATCCTAATCACCTTAGAACAGGACTCCTCATGAGCTCAGTACTGTGTTGTAAGTCCCAACATAGAGGAATAGTTGTCCTCTTCCTGTAGCTCCTGGGAAGTGTGACTTTATTTATTTAAGAGGAAGGAAGCCCTTAGGTAGCCTTAGGAGGATTCACACAGGTGTAACTAACACAAATTTGCTCCTTTTTTCCAGCAATGTGATGTAGCTATCAGTTGACAAGGGTATTTGTTATTGGATGATACTCTTTTAGAGTTGGGTTAGAATGTATGTGGCATAGTGTTAATTAGAGTAAAATTTGGTATTCTAGGGTGTCTGTGTGTGATAACTCATTTTTCACATACAAACTGAGTGATCAAGCCTTTTGAAGACTGTCTTATAGGTGAGAATTAGGTTTTCTGGTAGTATAGCCTAAGGGGCAAATAATTCAAGTTGAAACATCTGTAGCACCGCTCCCTAAGTTTAAAAATTGGTAACACTTGCATATATCCAAGTTAAAATGTCATGAAAATAAATGTCAAGTGCATGTTATCTGGCAGTTACTAGTTATATTGCCATAATATATTACTTTTATTCTTGTGTGATTTTATTCAGTTTTGGATTTCAATGATCCCTTCAGTACTGAAGTTAAGCCAAGAATCCTGCTCATGGGATTGAGAAGAAGTGGAAAGTCTTCCATTCAGAAAGTTGTCTTTCACAAAATGTCACCGAATGAGACTCTCTTCTTGGAGAGCACAAACAAGATCTGCAGAGAGGATGTTTCCAACAGCTCCTTTGTCAACTTTCAGATATGGGATTTTCCTGGGCAAATTGACTTCTTTGACCCTACATTTGACTATGAGATGATTTTCAGAGGCACTGGAGCACTGATATTTGTTATTGATTCTCAGGTAAACAAAAGAGGATTTAATCTACCTTTTTCTTCCTTTAGCAATAGACAAATCGATTGGAAAGCATAGATTTTTTTTCAAAGCAAATAAATGACTTAACTTGCATCACAAAGAAAGTCATTAAAACTTGAAGAGCTGCTTGGTTATTTTTAATCTCTCTGCAGTATATTCAAAAGTTAACTAATTTGCTTTAACATCTCAAGGTTCTTGCTCAGATTGCTAAGTGCTGACAGCATGAGAGCACATGCTGGATGTAGGCTCAGGCTTCTACTTATAAAATAAAAAATTAAGCTCTTGTTGAACTGTAGCGTTATCTAAAATAAGTATCATAAAATTTCATATATATTTTTAAGAACTTTCCTACAGTTGTAGCTTTTCTTTTTCCCTTATTAGGATGATTATATGGAAGCATTAGCTCGGCTGCATCTTACTGTGACCAGAGCCTATAAAGTGAATCCAGATATCAACTTTGAAATCTTTATCCATAAAGTGGATGGCTTATCTGATGATCACAAGATTGAAACGCAACGAGATATTCACCAGAGGGCAAATGATGACCTTGCAGATGCTGGATTGGAGAAGATTCACCTCAGGTGAGAAAAGCTGCTGTGAAAAGAATTCTAAAGAGGAGAGCTGCTTATTTGACAAGTTATCACTTTCTGTTCTCTTGGAAGTAGCAGGCAATAAGCTTTTAATATATGAAGGAAAAGGATAACTTGAGACATTGCATTTGACCTGAGCCAAAGAAAGTATCTTATTTCTGATTGCTGTCTTGGAGGGAAAGATGGAGAGGCGATGTGCTTAAAAACAGATGACAAATACTCCAGAGTCCTACCAGTTTTTGCTGCAGCTGCTGTCTTGAAATAAGTTGCTTGGACAGTGGCAGCAATGAGTAAAGCTCCAGCCAGTAGGGTGTATATGCCACCTACCTCACTTTTGCCTTCTCCGAAACCTTTCTGTCTCAGTCCCCTCCCAGTCACTAGTCCTCACTGCTGCAGCCTGTTTGGAGCCACTTGGGAATACAGGTGCTGTATCTTTGCATTATGTCTGCTGATAAAGCAGATTATTGTAGCAGATAATGAAAAATAGTGGGCTTCTGCAGACTGGGAACTAGAGGACATTAAGTTGTCATGTCTGTCTTGGCACTTAAAGCCTAGTACAAATATATTAAGAAGAGACCTGCTCTGTGAACATGCCTGCTCTTTAGAGCTCTTAACAACTTGACTGCATCGTTGCATTGATAAGTGGGTCCACAGCTTTCAAAAAGTAGATCACAACAGACATATTCAGTAATATTCCTCTCTTGCAATTTGAAAAATAACTTTCATAAGAATGTTAAGGTGGGAGTTGCATCATGAATTTCTACATCAAGGTCTAGTTTGCAGTATCGAGAGGTTTTTTATATAGAGACAAAGTCCTGTGCTTCAATCATAACGTGACTTCTGATCACAAGGGGTAATTGCATAAGTGTAGGCACTTACTGTTTGACAATATTTCATTTCACTCATATTATGAAAGGTACGTCATGTTCACAGCATGTGGCTAAAAGGAAAATGTGGTGACGTTTTTTTCCAGCTTTTATCTGACAAGCATATATGATCATTCTATATTTGAAGCGTTTAGCAAAGTGGTACAGAAACTGATTCCACAGCTCCCAACACTGGAAAACCTGCTTAACATCTTTATTTCAGTAAGTACTTGTTATATACTTTGTCTGTAGATCCAGCTGTGTCCAACATGCATGTTCAGATACTCTGTTTGCTGCCTTCTGAGAGATTATGAGCAATGTGAACTCTCAGAGAAATTATCAAAACTTGGTTGAAATGCACCCACGTGCATCGCTTGGCCTTACCTCCCTAAACAGCATTGCTGAGCTGCGGAGGTACTCGCAGCATTTCCTGAATCACATAAAGTGGGTTAGCAGCCATCACTTTTCTGGTCATATGTTAATCTGAATGTTGCAAAGGTCTGTGCTGCATGCGTTTGCTTAAGTAGTACTTAAAATTTGTGTAAATACATTCTTAAAGGAATGTCACCTAGTCTGACCTCTTACATAGAGCTGAGTATAGTGCTTCCTAGAATTAGTTCTACTTTGTATTGAAGTTTAACCCGCTAAGAAGAATCTTCTCTTGTCTTGAAATATTTGGAAGTAGAGTCCATCACAACTTTCACAGCTTCCACAGTTACTCCCAAGGTCAGTTAGAGAGCTTTGTGTATCTCGTGGCTTGTTATCACTGTGGAGGAAATTGCTTGCTCCACTGTTCCTGTATGTGTGATCCTGTGATCCCTTCCTCTCCTTTGAACTGGTTCTGACACTCACCTGTTCCCTCATGGAGTCACTATGACACGCACACTAATACACTGTTTGATTTAGTGAAAAGCAGGTCATGGAGGAGTCCAATATGCTTTTGTTTTGGTACAAGATAAAAGATGGGGACATGTGGCCATGAGAAAAAGGGAACACAGTGTGTAGGCTGTGAAAAGGAGGAACTCCCTCTTTTGGTGGTGGTGAAGTCAGGACATAGTGACTCCTGAAACTGCACCCTTTCTCACAGTATTCTAATTTTGCACCTTGCATCTAGCCTTAATTTGTTAAGCTTCAATTTCTATGCAAGGTATTTTGTTGTGTCTTTCTGTGATTTTGAAGTAATGAAATTATTTAATATCATTCAACAGCCTGTAAGATAAAATTAGACTTCACAGTTTCTCAGTGTAGGGTGTGAAAATGGAGATAGAGAAAAGTTGGATGCGTTGCTGAAAGGGAGAGCTAGGATTAGAGGAAGGTCTGTCCAAAACTTTTTCTCTTACAACTAGGCAATAAATGATATTTCATAATGAATGATTTGTTTTGAAGATTTGTTTCTACCAAAATGGCTGGACCATATACCAGTTATCATCCAGTCTTGAACTCCACTTGGGACAGAAAGGTAATGAAGGAGTGATGACAACAGTTCTAGAGCAATTGGATATTGAATATGCTACATAGTCTTGAAGAGAAAGTTATCTGAATGATAGTCCTCCTTGTGCTGGAGTCACCCCAGTCTCTCATATTGTGAGTTTGTTCTCTGTATGGGGTCCTCCTCCCTGTTTGGACTTGGTGGAAAAATTTCTGCCAAACCACCAGATGAATCGAGGACAAGCTGCTTCCTGAATGACTGATGACAGTTGCTTGTGTGTCTGGAACATCCAGAAGGCAGCTCAAGTAATATCTAGAATATCAAATGTAATTTGTAAGGAAGAGCAAGTCTTTCAAATGAATGGGAAGTCCAAAAAAGTGAGAGGTACACTATCTCCCTTATTCAGCAGAGGAAATAGTCTCAGACTGTTTCTTAACTCCAAATAGAGTAAAATGCAGTTTGTTAATGACCTAGAGCAAGGTGTAGCTGTGTCACTATGTCCTCAACATGCTTGCTGTCTGTTTTTACGAGTACCTTCTATCTGTAGACAGAAGAATGATAATAACTTTATCTGCAACCACAGGAAGACTAAGTATCATGCTCCAAACATAGAATTAGTTAGTGGGTGCCTCTTTACTTTAGCAACTTAGTGACAGCAAATCTTGACCTGGATTTTGGTCAGGAAGCCAGTGTGCTGGATATCAAAGTGTGGGTGTATTGGTGTTCTAGTTTGGGTTTTGCAGCAATATTCATGAGGATTTGCTGTCATTTATGCCATGAAGACTTACAACACGAAAAGCTGATGATTACAGAAATAGATCTGTGATCACTCTTAAGTTCACAGCAGGTGTTTGCCTAACTTTATAGTGCCACACTGTGTTAGCTTGTACGTTTGAGGAACCATCAGTGTGATAATACTGCTTCTACATTCTTTAATGTAACTGCTTGTAAAGCATAAAAGAACAGTTGGTTTGGCATTCAAACCCACGTAAATCTTACCTGACTAACACTCTATCAGCTTCATATAGGAGGTTGTCTGTTTTTTAATTACCGTGGTCTTACCAAGCCATCAAGTTGTGTGACACAGGAATGTGGATTTTCGTTTTAGGGTTGTTGGGGTAGTTTTGAGGGATGTTAAAAACAAACAGTGAATTATCATGGTAAAAAAAAAATTAAGTACAGTTTTGTTTATTTAATGATTTAAACGTCATAATCTGTAAATTCAAATGTAGTACTTAGCTAAAATTAATTCACTAAATCTGCTGTTTGCCACAAGACCTGTTTAAAGAGTTGTCCAAAATTTATTCCTAACTCAGTGACTGGTGATATCCTGTAAATTCTTTTGAAAATTAATTTTTTAGGGCCGAATTCTATCTTTTCATACTTTCAAGAAGGGAAAAGATAGGCCCATTTACCTAACCTAGGAATTGGAGTAATACTACCAGTTTTACCGAACCCATTTCATTTAAAGAATAGAAGCTGCCTTCTACTTTATCAAACCCAGTATAGTTGAGAAACACGGTTTGAATTTCTACCACCTCATGGTTTTTTCCTATCGAAAATAAAATCTCATATATTCAGAGGAGATCTTTCTCAATGGCTCTCTTGGTTCAGATGAGCCATGGAATCCTCTTGCATCGGTTAGGAGTGCTTGATAGAGCTTCTAGCGTGTGTTGTATCTTCCTTCTACACTGCAGAGTTGTGTCAGAGACGACTGTTGTTTGTTCTGGCCCGGCTCTCATTGACATCAATGGCAGCATTTCATTCAGTTGCATAAGGCAGCTGTTGGCCTTTGTTTTGCTGACAAGGAACCCTCCTGCTCTAGTAACAGAAACAGTTGATTTCTTATTGTCGTTTTTCCTGACCGATCCCTAATGATATGTCTCTTTGAATAGTATTTTCTATCCACTGTTTTTTGATTTTTTTTTTTTTTTTTAATGAGTTGTAATTATTGTTTGAACTGGTATTTTTTTTCCTTGAGCAATTTTGTTACAAACGTTTTGGCAAATCGTTTGCTTTTTCAGTTAAATTTGTACTAAAAACCCTGGAAAATGAAATCTGTGAAGTCACATGGGTACAGTTTACTGGTTACTACTCCTGGCAGTCCATCCTACCCTTTCACTGAGGTTTCTGTCACTGTACAAAGTTCAACAGAAGCAAATATGTGCCAGTTTCTCAGCAGGTCCTACCACGATGTATTAATTTCAACTGAAAATCAGCATGGTTTAAGTTAAGACACCAAGCTCTGCCCTTACCAGCAGGCATAACTGCTGGCATGGCACGCATCTCAAGATGGGAACCCTTTAAACTGTCACTGCAAGTACAGGCAGGCTGCAGCAGCTGGAGTTCTGAGATGGAAAAATCACTTCTCATTGTTAAATGTTACAATATTGTCACTGGCATCTTAATAATTTAAGGTACATCTCACCTGTACAGCTGAAATTATCACTATGTCTCTCTTTATATAATACAAAATTTGATAATTAACTCCTAATGAATGACACTACAGGGCTCAAGTTCCAACTTATTTTGTCTAAAATGACTTGTATTTTAAAATCTGTATTTTATCAATGAATTGTAGCTGTGTACTTGTATGATATTTACAGGTGAATCTTGTGATTAATCTTGCTTGACAGCATCTGTTGAAGTATGTGAGGTGCTGTCAGTATTATTCAAAAATTAAACTTACACAATTATCACATGTGGCCAGAATAACCATACTAAATACGCATACATTTTTTTTCCTAGTTCTCAAAGAACGTAGATTCATAGAACCATGTAGGCTGAAAGGGACCTTTACAGGTCAGCTCCTGATCAGAGTCAGGCCAGCTAGAGCAGGGTGTTCATAGCTGGGTCCAGTCCAGCTTTGTGTATCTCCAGGGATGGAACCACTACAACTGCTCAGGTCAGCATGCTCCCAGTGCTTCACCACTCTCATGCTAAATTTTTTTTTTTCCTGTATCAAGTCAGAATTCTAGCTCATGCCTTTTGCCTCTTGTCCTTCAACACCGTAGCTCTGAGAATAATTTGGCTCTGACTTCTATGTACCCTTACATTAGGTATTTGTAGATAGCAGTGAGCCTTCTTTTCTTCAGGCTGAACAAACCCAGTTCTCTGAGACTCTCCTTGTACATTGTGTGGATACCCATGCATGTAAGGTATCCACAGTGTATATTTTGTTTTGAATATTTCTTTTATTAATGAATTACTGAAGTGTGCCACTCATAGAGTCTCTTCCATAATGAAATATAAGAAATCCGTCTCTATACTCTGTTATTGATGGGTGTTTCCAGCCGTAATTGGCTGTGTGATGGTGGCAGAATTAAGCCTCTTTAAGAAAATGTCCAAAACATTGCTGACCATCGTTCAGGAGCACATCTAGGGTTGAAATTTTTCTCTCTCTTTTGGGAAATTTGGAAAGTGTGAGGGTCACTTTAGTGTCTTAACAATGTGTTAAATAGTTGATTAAGAAAGAAGAAGAAGTTCTGTGATTACAAAGGAAGCTGAAGCTATTAAAACTTGTTAGGGGTTTTCAGTGTGTTTTTTTTGGTAGTTACAAAACTGCTGTGGCGGCAGTCCCAAACCATATTAAAAAGGGAAGCCCATATATAGAAAAAATTTGGTGTGATGGGAGAAAGTTGCTTCTCTTCCTTGTATAGGTGGATTCTGAAGCATATTTTATAGCTTCAGCTTTAGCAATACTGGGAAATTGCCCTTTATTGTTCATGCTGGGACAGGTGCCCAGGTGCAATCCCTTGATACATGCAAGCAGAGCTACTGTTTTCAGTTAAACACTACACATTTTTTTCCTCTTTTTTTTTTTTTTTTTTTTTTTTTTTTTTCTCCAGGAAGCAAAGGCTTATGGCAGTTTACCTTATCTACACAAAGAATATGAGCTAGCATTCCTGGCTAGCCTCTGAGAGCTGTGAATACGATACATCTCCAGCATGGAGAGAGTCTTAATCAGCTTGGCAGGATGACAGGAACATAGCTGTCATCACATTAGCAAGCCTTAGCATTATAAACATGGCTTTAACCAACAATGCTGCATGAAAAACTGGAGGAACAGCATTAAATTACTGGTCTTTCTCCTGTGACCTAAACTATATTCAAAGGAACCAGACAGTAAAACAGCTACAGACCCTGATGAGACAAATTCTCAAATTTCTTCGGCAATTAGTTCCTAAACACTACTGCCTTGTTTGTCCATCAACTTTTTATTTTCCTTGTTTCTACCTTCTTACACGTCCAGTTAGAATAACTTTCAGTTACAGCTCTCTTTATGTCCATTGTTACAGTCAAAAACCCAAAAGCTTGATCTTGGAAGATTTTTTTTTTTCCACCCACATTTTCCCCTGAAAAAAAAATATAATCCCTCCACATGTTTTCCAGAGAGGGGAAGCTTGTGAGTGTAACTGGCGTTACAGCTGCTCAGAGGCAGAAACTATTGTGAGGTCTGTGAGCATCACGGTTTGCTACAAATACAACAGTGCTGTATGTACAGTTTTTTCAAAATGAGCTTGATTGCGGTTTAACTTTTTCTTCTTCAGCCTAGCTTTTTGTGTAACAGGCAAATAGGGGAACAAAAAAGCTTGGTATTAATTTGAAGACATGGCTTTCATTTTATTTTTCTTTCTTCTTTTCTTAAATAGAATTCTGGGATTGAAAAAGCATTTTTATTTGATGTAGTCAGTAAGATCTATATTGCAACGGACAGTACTCCAGTGGACATGCAAACTTACGAGCTCTGCTGTGATATGATAGATGTTGTGATTGACATTTCTTGTATATATGGGTAAGTAAATTGTTAATGTTTTTCATGAAACTGTGTACCTAGAATCTGAATGGCCTCAAAATTAGAACGATGTGGATATAAACAATAATAAGAATGTGTAATTTGCCAGAGTAGTTTGTCAGTACAGGAGAGAAGGAGGAAATGTCTGGCCTCTGAGGTACAGATCCCTTGCCAGCAATAAGCACTGTTCCCTGCCCAGCCTCTTCTGTGAGCACCTTCCTCTTTCTATGCTAGTACTTTTATTTGGAGTAAGGAGCGGGAAATAACCCAGCCTAAAATAAAAGGAAACATTATCTTTTTGTTCCCCAGGGATGAATTCAACAGAAGGGTGCTTCCCATTTACAAAGAAAAAAGTGGTGGGGCCATACTTAGTTTTGTTTACTTTAATAGCTAGTGGCCTCTACTGGCCTCAGAAAGCTGCTTCACTCTTGCTCGGTTCTCTGTTCGTCCTCCATTCCTGCATGACCTTTGTGGGGTTTTTTCAGTTTCCCCTCCTTATACATTAGCAACTGGAGATCTCCTGGGGTAGCATGTACATCTCCGTGCAAGTTATGTTTTAAATGGTTTGGCTCTTGGCCAGCTATTCCTGAGAAAGGCAGGGGCACATTAAGAATTACTGCATTGAGATGCATAGACTTGAAGCCTAAACCGCAGCATGCTTAGTGCGGTGGTCTTTGGTAGCCTTGCATTCCTACCCATTGATAGGCCTCTAGCACTCTTGGAGAAGGTACGGGGGGGAGAATCCTGGTGCAGATGTGCAATGTGTGTTACAACTTCAGAAGAACAACAAATTGTTGAATACCTTTCTAAAATTTCTCAAGTTTGTATATTCTACTGTGTGTTTCAGATTTTGGAGTCGGTCACTTCAGTAACTGTACACGAACTTGTGTTTTACAGAGGTATACAACAGAGGATGCTGATTCTGTGGCATTTTTTTTTTGTACAGAGAAAGATGCTGCCCTGTAGTTCAAAAGACTTTTAATTTAATTTAATTATTACTTGTACAGCACCACTTGTGAGGTGCTCTATTCACAAAATGTCACCGTGCCACTGTCTTTGTGTAACCACTTAGAATTTATCACCAGAAGTCTGCTTGTCGTATTTTTAGCTATAGACTAAAGACATACTATTACAATTAGTTTCTTGTCCTCTATTCCTGGAGCATCTGTGGAACTTGCTACCTTAATATATTATTGATACTAGTTGTTCTGGAAGGTTGGTGATAATTACCCATTTAACAAGATCTACGCCTGCATTCAGGAATGAGGGTAAAATTACAAGGTACAAAACTAATGCAGTGATCATCATGACACATCATCTGTGAAGGCAAAATCTCTTCATGATATGATGTTGCAAAAGCCAACATCTCATAAGGAAAGTCTCATGATGGCTTAACTATCAGTCAGCTGCCACTGGTCAAGCAAGGTTACTGGATTTGGAGTTACCAGTACAGACTTACTTGTTCACATGTTTTAGATAAAGTAATAATATAGTGCATTGGCTAAAAGAAAAGACAACCTTGTGGTAAAAGGTTGGTCATTTGGAGGAAAAAAGGCAGGAAAACATAAGGCTCTAGTTCAGGTACTTGGCAATCAAGCAATCTGATTTCTAGCCCCAGATCGAAGATTTGGTGTGTGATTGGATAAAGGATTTAATGTCTATGTCTTCTTAGTTTACCTAGTGTGTAGTTTGAAGAAGAGTCTCCCTGAAAGGTCAGAAGTAAAATTTCATAAAGTTTGAGATTATCTGGTGAAAGAACCAATGTGGGAGTACTTTTGTTAGCTCATCTGGTGGCTTATCTCCTCTTGTTTGTTTGTTTGTTTGTTTGAATACTGCCCTTTAGGCTTAAAGATGATGGCACTGGAACTCCTTATGACAAAGAATCAATGGCGATCATAAAACTGAACAATACAACTGTCCTTTATTTAAAAGAGGTGACAAAATTCCTTGCTCTTGTTTGTTTTGTCAGAGAAGAAAGCTTTGAGAGAAAAGGTATTTTTCCCTTTTTTTTTTTTTTTTTTTACTTGATAGAGCTTATATAACATGTTTAAAGGCATGAAGTATTTGTGCTTGCATTAAGATAAGATGAAATCATAAATGTATTTGACAACTTTCTGTTATGAAAGCATATGAAAGTTTACATCCAGTGCAGTAAAGCTTCCATCTGCAACAGTAGAATGTGTCAGTTTATCTTGGCTAACATTGATTTGTACCTGTTGGCGCCAACATACGCATTTGGAACAGCTTGTGTGCCATAACCAAGGGAAAATTATTGAAGATAGCTGATAGAAAGAAATATGCTCTTGCTTTTCTCATCTCTGAAAGGAAGCTTTTGAAAGGCAGCGTATTTGGGACCCAAGTGGCTTTCATATTTTGCAGTTGAAGTGTATAAAATTTCTTGGTTATCCCTCTGACCCTGGTCAAGGTCAGTACTGCAAAGCTTAGTTCATGATTGCTCTGCTTGCTGGCATGATGTTCACTGAGTTACTGGTCTTAGTGAAGTGCCCCAAGACTGGAACTGAACAGTGGAAGAATGAGCCCCATCTTGTGATATTAATTCACCAGTCAGTGTTGGTGTGTTTCCAAATGCAGTATTCATACCATGTAGCTGGGATGTTTGACAGGCTATTTAGCTTTTATTTTATAGAATTTGAACTGGTCGAATTTCTCTTTCATACCCATACTGCCTTTATTATCTATGAATGTTAGATGCAGATGCATTTTTTTTTTTCTGCTGCAAGCATAAGAAGTGCTACTTCAACATACTTACTAACAGCACTGTCTCAGAAAAGACACACCATGTTGCATAAACACTCATTAGGGTTTGTCCACAACTGGGTCAGGTTGTTGTGTCTGCGTAGTTTGGGACACTTTGTGCTGTAGCCTGTACTCTTTAACAGTACAGTCCTGGTATTGTAATGCAGATTAGCTTTTGGTGCCTGGTGACTTCCACATAATATTTTGTCTGAACTCTAGGGAGAGGGAAAATAATTCCTGGGGAAAAAAAAAATCAAAGTGTAACATGGTGGATTTAAACCACTTAAAACATGTATCATCTCCTGTTACAGCAACTGAAGTAGAAAACACTGAAGTATTTGAGTTAAGAAAGCTTATGGCATTAACCTCAAATGAGGTCATAAGCTCAGTACCAAAATTCTAAAATTGTGTTGCGGTATTACACAATTGTAGCACCCAGTAAGTCTTCCGATTGAATACGGCTTTACAGCTTTTCTGTGGGATCACATGCAGCCCACTCACATGGTAATGTTATCTGCCTATTATGTATGTATGTAATCTAACAGAATGTCTGTTATTTTTCAATTGCAAAATAAGATGAAATATAGCTGGCTGGGATTTACTAATATATCTACCAAGTATCTATTTCAAAACTTATGCATTGTCAAAACATGAAAATTCTTTGATTACTAGATGCTAATTATTTTTATCACAGTTATTCTGTAAAGCAGATTTACAAAATGACACGGTATTTTTATGAAAGATTTTAATTTTTCTTGTAGCATACTGAGCACTTCTCCAAAGCTCTTTATTAAGTTAAAGCTTTGTTATCTGCCAATGAACTTCTATTTGTTTTCTCTTAAGACTAAGAAACCTATTTAATACCAGACATAGTATGAAGCTGTAATGCTCTCTGAATTATTTGTATTTATCAAATGTGCTTTTGCTTAGCACAGAAAAAATGTCTGTAAGATTCACAGATTATGACCTCCTGAGATAGTGTGCTATTTCACTAAATGTAGAATATAAGCAATTTTTTCATTACCTAATTTGTATAAATGTCTTTATTAATATGGATACCATTTCTGTCTCTGTAGGATTAATAGACTACAATTTCCATTGTTTTCGAAAAGCCATACAAGAAGTATTTGAAGTGAGAATGAAAGTAGTAAGATCTCGAAAACATCAAAGCCACGTGCAAAAAAATAAAAGACCCACTCCCAATGGGACACCAAGAATGCCACTGTAACTGAGGTTTTTCTGTCAAATGTGGCAAGCAAAGTTTTTGTGAAGTTGATGTGACTTCTGCATCTGATTGCACTGAGTGAAGAGGAAAATGAATGGGACTGATGTATTATATGAATTTTCCCTGAACGTTCAGAAAGCACTGTTTAAATATTTTTATCCAATCAGTTTTTTTCATATAGTGAGCACTTTGAGCAAAATGTTGTATATATAAGCATTGAGGTGAACACTTGTAAGAATTTTCTTAATATATGCTGTAAACCTTTTTCATGCCATATTAAGAAGAAACAGCTGTGACAGAAATAATGGGTACATAATTTGCACTTTTTCATGTTTTCCTTGTGGAGTTGGACTTTGATAAACTTAGTTTTTATGGTGATTCTGATGCATGGTGTCAGGTAAAATGTATGCTGTAGTTTATTTACCTGCTACAATCAAATTGGTTAGTAAACAATTAAGAAAACTTGGTACAATGCCTTTTAAAATTTGTGACAGCTAATACCTAACATTCATACAGATCTAATTTCGTATATTTTTCAATTTGTAAACTGAAGAATAGTTTTGAAGTATTACAGCAATAAGTACCTTACCAGAGATCATAACTGGTAGGTAAATATTAGCTTTTATAAAACAGGCTTTTGGCCAAATTTCATCCGGAATTCTCCATAACACTGGTCATGCCCTCTGGGTCTGTTTTTATTATTTACCTCAGCATATACCACTAAAATACCTTTCTATAAAGATAATTGTTTTGTAAAATGGCTCTATGTTGCACTGGTATTTTTATAAGGCTTCAGAGGAGGGTGTTGTATCTGAAAGGTTGAATTTACATTGCTAAGTTTGTTTTGAGAGCCTGCGCATCTACAGTTGGCACAGTAAAGAATCTCTATGTATTTCCATCCTGACACTCTGATGTACTGATAGGAAGTCCTAAAGATCTGAGCACTGAGTTCTGATTCCCTCTAATAGGGGTACGTCTGTGATTTGAAATCAAGAAGAGACCGTTAAAATGAGGATTGGACAATCTACCTGCTGTGGTAATCAACGTACATCACTACTATTTTTTTTCTTAATATTGAACATGGGCAGACTTACCACAGGATCAGCCAGGACAGCAGAGCATTCTCAAACCTAAAAAGAAGTAAAACTTACTTTCTGAGTTCTGTATTTACTGTTTTTGTTTAATTAATGATACAAAATTATAGTCGGAAGAGCAACTCTTTTTTTTTTGCCAGTCCCACCGCAAACCACTTGCATGAGCGGTCCAGTGATGTTGTCAGCAGCTCTTGGGCATGGGAAGAGCTTGACCTGAATGGGAGACAGCTTGCCATACACCAGAAACAGGTAAGGGGAGCTGTCCTTCACTCGTTCGTAACTAACCTGTACCTAGCTGAGATAACTCTGGAGACAGACAGGAAGATGGAATTTGAAAGTTTTCTCTTGGCCAATGTAAGGCATAATGCTGCATGTCTGTCAGTGAGTTAAGAGCCCCCAGTGTTTGCTGGCTTGTGTTTAACAAGAAGGGTTTTAGCCTGTGGTACACAAGTATAAATTCAGTAGTGGTTTGAATGCAAATGCAGTTTCTGTATGTTATATATTGACACATCTTGAATCTCTAGTACTATACTGAATATGCAAGCTGGGAGAGCCAGTTGGCGTGAATGCCAACGTGCTCTACACAAACATCTGCCAAAAGGGAGACCACTGTTTTCCAAGCCCTTTACTGCTGCCTGATGCATCTGACTTACCGTTTTGGAACAAATTGGCATTTTTGTCAGGAGTCTATTGAATATATATGGAATTTTTAGAATAAAGTGCTAGTCAGTAGATGGAGCTCAGCTCCTTCAAGACTCAGTTGATAAATAATGCAGTTCTAGGTGTTCAGGAAGGTGAGAAATACTGAGAAAAGAGACAAGTAATGGTCTTGGTGCAAGTGTGAAGGATAATGACAGCAGCTGTAATCAAAGCAGAATGCTTCAAAAATAGAGAGAATTCAAATTCCTTTCGTTACTGTCGCCACCTGTCATCTTAAGTGAGGGCAGCTCTTCTGACCATCCCCTCAAAGTAACACAAAGCTGTCTTCAGAGTTCACCAAAGCGATGGCAGGTAACAACCACCTTTTGACAGCTTTCCAGTCCACAGGACTTTTATTGAAGGGCTGCCATAATTTCTGGCCACACATTTGTCTTTCATTTGGTTGAGACCCGCCATTGGGTCACAGTCTCCGTCCTTCTCCCTTCACTCCTTCAGGTATAGGTGATTATGTGGGACAAGGAACACCTACCAGGCTGGACCAGACACTTTTTTTTTATTATTATTATTAAATAAAGTATCTCATCACACTGGCTATGGTATGAATCATAACCAAAGAATGTAGTTTCCAGATATTTGGCCTGAGCTCTATGTAGTCGTACATACCCTTGTATTTAGAGACGATCAACTTCTATAAGACAATGAAGTTAGCTCTTGGTAGTCTCCTCCAGAATTTGTCGTAGACTATCTTGCATAATTTAGTGGAGGTGCCTTTAGCTAATGTATAAAATTTCTAAATGGATGTTATCAAAGTAAGCGTAATTTTTATCAGATTACTTAGGTTTCAAATATGTTTAATTATAACTTGAAAGAATGTTAAAAATGCAGGTGATGACTCTCATGTTCCACTTTTGAGAAATCATTTTCTAATTAGTACCTCAGATTTTCATGTTCTAGCTAAAGTGATTCAGCGCTGAGTGAGGCATGCAAGGTTGAGGTTTTTTTAAAGAACATATTCTTTTAAATCTCTTGCTTTTTCTTTTAAATTTTATTGAGATTCTAATTTTTATTTCAAAGGGATGAAATACCCCATAAGCTGCAAGAGCCAGTTCTGACAAGGCAGCACTGAAATACCTTGTTTTAAAATTGGAAACTGTGCAAGAAGTAATCACTTCCCCAATAGTGCAGTATTTCCAAAAAACATGGTCTGTGAGTCACCATTTTTAGATACCATAAGAGTTGCCTAGACATAGTAGGGACCATTACTGAACTAGCCATGTCTCTTTAAAACACTGTTTTAGAATAAGTCCAAACCAATTTAGTATCCTATAGACACTTTAAAGTCAGGAGCTGAATAACTGTAAAACATTGTTTCCAACAACTTGTTGTAGTTGAGGACATCTCTGTAAGTAATTCAGTAGGCAGCACCCCAGAGTACTTAACGGATTCTTTGAAGAGTTAAAGTGCATCCTTGAGCATGCACTGTGTCGTGGCTATTTACAGTGCTGGAATGTCTTTCTAAAATTCAGTGGTTACAGATGTGCTGTGCATTAGCATGGAAGTATAATCGACAGGAGCAAACTACTCTGATAAAGCATAATTCAGATGCATCATTTGAGATCTCGTGTTTTGTGATGGAACTTTTTTTTCCTCATTAAAACAAAAATTCTGGGGTTTCTTGCATGTGAAATTGTACTCCTGTAATGAAGTTTTATACTAAGGGAGTTCATTCTGTGAAAGTACTGCAGCAATTTATAAGAGAAATTTTAAAGAACCTATAAACTTTTTATATGCTTCATCAGATTAAGTTGAAGAACTAAAGAAAACAACCCTAAACAGGTCATCATATACGGTGGCAACTGTTTGTTTTAATGACATATTTACTGTCCCTATCATTTGCAATAGTCATTGCAGAATACTTTTCTCTCAAATTGAACATCGTGGGTTTTTAAATTTTGTACTGAATGATGTGCATGACATTATTACATAGTGATTTTTTTTGCTACAGCTTTATCTCTGTCCTGTTTGACAGGAAAATCAGATCATTAACACCAACGTTTCTTATTCAGATTCTAAATATTTATTGATAGCCACATGTGAATTTACTTAATTATAGACAAACACATCAACTTCACCCATTTCAGCTGTGTGGAAAATGAGAAATAAGCTTGGTCAGGAAATTCTTTTGGGCTCCTCTGATACAGTGGCATATGGTTGACATCCCACTTAATTTCCCACTGTGTTCATATTTGCATATTAGCTCATGCATATATCTTCAAATGGCTAGATTTAAAAAAAAACTCTTAACAGACTGTTTCTTTTTTCTCCCTGATATCTTCTGCGTTACCTTTCCCATCACCTTTCCCATTTTACTATCTGTATATATGTTTTGTCATAAACAGGTCTGATACCCAGTCTCCTTGGTTCCTGCCAGCCTATTGTCTTTGGCTTATAAGCATTATGAGCTACAAGCTAGTTTTGAACAAAAAGCTACTGAAAAAATATTGAGTACAAAAATATCTAAATTGTGTAAAATCCATTACATGCTACTAACATCCTTAAAAAGCTACAACATATTTATGTAATCTTGATATGTATGCACACCATACAAACACATGTTCATATTCAAGTTACAGTTAATGCTAGCAGTCAGATTTTGAACACTTCTTAATTAGCGCCAGAACATATTTTAAAAGAAAAGATTCATATAGATAAATATGTCCAGGAAAAAAATTATCAGTGTAGCAGACTGTCACAATGTCTTTTGGACTAAACATATTTTTGACAAGGTAAAAGGTTTTTTAGGAGACTAGTCAGAGGAGATACTCTACTGAATATTTTTCGTAATAATACTGGGAGCTGCTATGAGAAAGAAGGATTATTTATTTCAGAATTGCTGAGCACCAGAAGTAGAGGAAAAAAACACTGATGTCCTTTAAAAAAAAAAAAACAAACAAACAAACAAAAAAAAAAACACCAAAAAAACCCAACCCACACCCAATAAACTAACAACTAAACGTGGCCTAAATTGGGGAGGGTTGGTATTAAACACCTCATAGATAAGTGCAGATGTGAGAGACATAAAAAAAAATATACAGTGGCCTAGTGTGTAGGCCAGAACACTTCATAGTGTATTCCAAGCTGCCTTCTTTCTCAAAATACAGGCCAAGAAAAGACAATGTGTTTATCACAACAAGATGCACACGTGTACATTGAACCACGGTGAGGTGGTCTGGGTGAGTCCAGGGGCACTGTGTGGTCCTCAAAGGCCCACGCAGTAGTGCCATGGCAGTGACTTGCAGGACAGTGTCAGAGCTGCCTTTGCTATTATAGCAGGATTTACCCTTCGTATAGGTTTTAATCTCCACTCAGTGCAAACTAAAAGCCATTCTGGACTCTACTGAATGAAAGGGTAGTGCCAGTACAAATACAAGTATAAACCAGGCATGAACACGTTCATGTTAGAAATTGGAAATGGATTTCTAAAGGAAAAGAGCAGCAATCTTCTGGAGCCTCTGCTCCGTGCAGGGAGAGCAGACAGCCTATGTCCAAAAGGAACCTCAGCTTCTCAGTGGAAAGGGGTATAAGTCGTAGCCAGCATGCCAATTACCTGAGAGTGCTAGCATCACAGAATGCTAGAGTCCTAACTCACTTTCTCATCAGCACTGCAAGTTTCTGACCCAGATGAGCTCATGTTTGCATGTAGGTGTTTTTTTTCTGTCGGGTGGGTGTCCACTCAGCCAGTACCGATCCATTCATCAATGCAAGTTTATGTTCTTGGTCCTCCTAATTAGGCTGCCTCCTTGCTCCTTCCCACACAAAACCCGAGAACCCCAGTCTTATACCTAGTGCATCATAAATCCTCAGCTTTCTGTTATTCCAGATAAAACAACCACCCATCAGTGTGGGAGCCAGTAATGTTTTCAGAGTCCTTCACACCCACTGCTGTGAGTTCTCTTCTGCAGCTGCTGATAAAACTGCCTGATTGGATAGAGTGGTGGATGTCCTAACACTAAAGCTAAAATCTTTAACCAGCACTCCTGGGGTTTCTGGAAGCCCCACCATCCACTTTGTGGTGTCATGCAAGGGGGCCTGGCACCTGTGATACAATTCCTACTTGTTCTGAGGTTAAGTCAACTATTGATTGAAGTCAACTATTGACTGTATTTTCCTGCTGCTCATGCACATCCACATCAATTTTGGGGACTGCTTTGGTAACAAGCAGAGTCATCTGAGCTGTGGGAAACATAACCTGTTTCAACTCCTTTTGCAAAGCAGTATACAGAGAGCAGAGGGGTGTGCCTTCCGGGAAATCCAGCAGAGCCAAATCAAAAGGATTGAGCCAAATCAAAAGGCCCCAGGGGCCAACATCTTTCTCTCTAAACCCTGCACTGAGAGGTGGAACCATACTCTGC